AAGTCGGTAAACTTCACGCTCACAGGCAAGGGCACACTCTTCCCCCACTCAACGCCGTACTCTGCAGCCAACTCTTCTGCAAACCTTTGCTGCGAGATCCTCAAAAGGCCTCTCTCTAGATCTCTCTGGTAAAAGCACGCGGAGTACCACCTCAACTCCCCAAGGTTTTTCACGGGGACCATCTCGTTGAGGTCACTGCCAAACTTGTCACACCTCTCCTTCTGCCCTACGGCAAAAATGTCATCCACGTGGACCACAATGATCATGATCACACATCCATCCTCCATCAATCGAAAAACACATGCATCCGCCAAACATTGCACAAATCCTAAAAGTAACAAACACCTCGTCAGGTGCGCATGCCAGTGTCGTGATGCCTGCTTCAAACCGTACAGATTCTTGCAGAGTTTCACGATCAGTCCAGATAACCTACCACAACCTTGCGGGAGACGCATGAAAACATCCTCTTCAAGTTCAGACTGCACACATGCCTGCTGAATATCGAAATGGCATAAGTCAAGGTTCTGCTCACATGCCAACGCTGCCAACAAACGCACACTAGACACGGACACGGTGGGTGCAAACAATTCTCCAAAATCAATCGAAGCCCTCTGCATGTCCCCTCGCGCTACAAGTCGTGCCTTGAATTTCGTCGGCCATCCGTACTCGTCTACCTTACAGTTGAATACCCACTTGGCGTTGATGAAGTTTTCTACTGGTTGCTACACCGGACTAAAAGTACCTGCATCCAGCAGACCGAAAAATTCCCGACCGACTGCATCATCCCACAACTCTGAATGTTGAGACCGCATGGCCTCCTTGAACGTTTTCGGCACTCGGAGGTCGCTGGCGAGGCAGTGAGGAAGGTCCGGCGTCTTGTCAGGAGGGCGCTTGGCACGAAGAGTGGCTTCCACATCCTCGCGGGTGGCGAACATTGCTGCGAACATGTGCAGGCCCCCCGGCCCCCCAGCTTCTGCGGCCCCCCCGCTCCCATGGCCTTCTAAACTCGTATCTTCCGGCTGTGGGGGAGCGGGAGGGGCGATGTTGGCGGACGGTGGCAGGTCTCGACGTCCTTGATCGACGGCTTCCCGGGTGGCGAGCGACGAGACGAGCGCATCCTTGCCCATCATCGACAGCAGCCCAAGGCGGTGTTGGAGAGCGGTGCCGCCACCTGACGGCGACGGCGGTTGCTGTTGCTCATCCATGAAGGGCACTCGGTCGCCGCGCGTACTGCCATGTACCCTGGTTTCCTTCCCGCCCAACTCTCTGACGGCTCGCTGTGAAAGCGGCAGGTGATGGGGAGCAGGAGCGACGGCGCTTGCGTGCGGTGGACGGGGCGGCGTGGCTGCGGTGGACGGCGGTGCACTCGACGACGCCGTGGANTAGTACGTCCATGTCCGCGGGGGCGGCGGCTGTGCGGCATCGGCCGCAGGTACGGCGGCGGCCGGCGAGGGCGCCGCGGTGACCGAAGAACCCCCCCCGATGGCCGGCACCGGCGCCGGCGCTCCTGCCCGGCGGTTGACCCACACGACGTTGTTGGTGATGGCGAGGCGGCCGGTGTCAGCGCGGAGAACGACAGCGGTTACCGTCGAGTGGTTGTTGGCGCCGTGCAGGTAGAAGCAACGCACGGATTGGACGTCCGCTTTGATGGCGCGCTTGACCCGCATCATCCCCTCCTGGAAAAAAGGGACGACGTTGAGCGGCGGCTTCCGGCCGAAGAAGGCCTCGAACGGCGACATCCAGCCCTGATTGGCCTTCGTCGCGGAGCGGTTGAAACAACCGGATGCCCAGAGCGCCGACGAGAGCCACAGGCGTTGTCCGTTGGCGCCGATGTTGGGGACGGAGGCGAGGTCGACGTGGGCCATGGAGAGGATGTGGCGTCGCGCGGCGTGGCCCCCCTTCATCGCACGCCAGATGGCGCTCTCGGCGACGGCGTTTTGTTTGGGGGTGTCGGGCGCGGTGTACTCGCGCCGGATGCCAGCGGCGTCGCAGAACTCGATGAAAGCGGCGCCGGTGAACTCGCCGCCGTTGTCCATGCGGAAACATCCCGGAGTGCCCATGCCGTTCATGTCGGCCAAGAAGCGCTTCACGTACTTCAGGGTGTCGCTCTTCGCCCGCATCCCGTACCCCCGTTGCCGTTGGTAGCACTCCGCGTTGGTGTGGTTTGACCGCGGATGAACGTGACAACGCCTGTCTCTTCTGGTCTCGTCGCTCCTGCTCCGACCGTCGCCTTTGCCGTCCTGTCCGCCGCCGTTCCCACTCGACCCATTTGGGACACGTCCGTCGCCCCGGGGCGCACCGGAAGCGACGAAGGCGTGCCTCACGCCACTCTTTTGTTCCTCCTCCCGTGCGCGCACCAGGTCCGTGTGGGCCTCCTTCACGGAATCCTCTATCTGCTCGAAAGTCAATTCAGGGATGCGGTCCAACAGTTTCTTCTATAATTTGTAGTCGGATGACAGGGCGGACACCAAGTGGTCGTTTGCTTCGTTGTCGGGATACACTGTCCCGTGCGACGCTAGCCTACTCCGCAAAATAGAGAACCTACCGAAGTACTCTTGTGGGTTTTCACCTGCATGCATCGCGAAGCTATGGTATTCCTTCAAGAGTCTTCTTTTCTGCTTTTGCTTGGGGCTCGTAATGCTTGAGGAAGATCCTCCATCCCCCACTCAGGCTTCCGTCTGACACGATTTCCGACAAGATCGGCATGTGTGAGATTGACGTCATGAGCAAATTCCACGCCACTACAGCCTTAGCTACCTTCTGATCGCCATGCTCACTCAGTCTTCAGGTCTACCATGCTGATTCCTTGTCTCCCTACTGGGATGTCCTGGTCGCTCATTACTACCTCGTGAACATCCTCCTGTGCAAACCGTGCTGCCATGCTCGATCTGAAAATCAAAAGCTTCTGCTGCCTATTGTCCCCCTGCTTAAACACACCATCCCAANTATCGCCGCAAAGCGATGCTCCTAAACCAAGGTCGACCGCGAATCTCGTAGACGACGTGTCATACGCTAGCGTGATCGATAATTCGGGTGGCTCGATTCTTTGTGGTTGGAGCTCAAAGCGGGTGGCTCATGGCGGAGCGTGGATGGGTAGAAACGTGTTGAAAACGTGTTGCGAAGTATAGTATTAATCGGGGGCGTGCCAGTGCTCGTCAAACCATCACGGCATCTGGTCACGCCTTCACTCTTTGTCACTCGAATCTCTCTGAACCTTCACCAAATACCTCTCGCGACCAAGGAATATATGTAGAAGTTTCCTATTCTTCCGCATCTCATCACTGTAACTTTCGTACGTACGTACATAACATCTCAACCGTCATACTATGCTACGAGTACCCCCAATATATCTAATAGAATCATCCCATGCGTATTGCTCGCAATAGATACGAAATCCACGCTTCGCCTCGATCGACATGTGATGCCAACGATCCTTCCATCCAACCAGCCAACAACAACCGGTTCCCTCCCTCGGCTATCGTCACGTTTCGTCGTGTTTGTCGCGATTTTACCCGCCAACGGACGATACAATTCCCATAAATAACGCTTCGCCGACATCCCCATCGGCATCAGTATCGAGGTGCTCCCTGCCCTTTTTCTCGTCTTGGAGGGAAGCAGCTTGCCATGAACACGCTGCCAACGACGTGCAGGCCGTTCCAATGTCGCGAAATGCATCCTGGAAATGCTCCGCAGTTACCATCGCACTGGACTCTCCTAGTCTGGGGGAATGGTCGAGAAAGAGAGAGAGAGAGAGAGAGAGAGAGAGAGAGAGAGAGAGAGAGAGAGAGAGAGNAGTTCATCGAGGTTCGGGAGGGAACACTACAACAGTAGCCGGATGATACGTAAGAGGTTCTGAAAGGAGTCTTCAAGGAACGACTTCTTCAGATCGTTTCGGTGGCTACACAGGTGGCCATATCTCGGCGAGTGCAGAGGTACAAGCTCGCATTGCGCGGGCGTCAAGACGCCGAAAACAGGCGAACAAGATCGACCTCGGACCAGTCAACGCCAATGATATGGAGATGGAGTGTAGACGTATCGTAGAACGCGTTTTCGTTTGAAGTTGGCGTCTTGTTTGAGAGTAGATGTGACAGATTTGCGTAGAATAGGGTAAGATGTTATCATGAACGGAGATGAAAGGGCTTTTCCAACACGGAGATGTAGCATGGATCAAAGCATTTGTTGGATTTCAGCTTTTACAAGCGGACATCAACGCAGTAGTATTTTAGCAAGCTTACGAACGCATATAGGATACCATCAGGATTGTCATTGGTTTTATTTCAAGTTGAAGAGGAGATACTTTTACGATGTAAATGACAGTAGAAACAAGTCCTACATATGTTGTTGTACTTCGTATTGGTTTAATATTCATGTAGAGTATGAGACATTAAGTGAAAGTTTTCTGAGGTACATCTGCAATTGTCGGAAGGCAAAAATAAATAAATAAATAAGTAAGAGGAACAGGGGAAAGAGTCCCCCCCCACCCCCCCCCACGAAAGGTAGGTTTCCCAGGAGGTGCGTCCACCCACGTGGATATTTTTGGGGTGGTCGTCGTCGGAATGTACGTGTGTTACTTGTTCGAACGGCAACACACATTGGCTCCAGATCGAAAAGGGTAGCTCGACTTGACGCCTTGCGGGCGTAGACCTGACGATTACATATCATCCGCTCACCGTTCTTGTTCGTTGTTTTGGAAATGCTGTAGGAACTCGGTCGTTATATCCTCTTCGCATGCTTTCCTGGACAAGGTCAAAACATGTAAGCAAGTGTGGGTCAAGACAGATAGATTATCATTGGGGAAGGTCCAGGCAGGGTAGAAAAATGGCCAACGCCACTAACCGACCCCAATCGTACATGGTGGCATCGTAACCACCCCTCCCCCATCACACCCAGCCGGTGCCCTCGAATGTCCATGTACGACTCGATCTTGATTAAGCGGGACTCCGAACTAGGTTATTGCGTCACAACATCACTCTGTGTGGAGGCGCCTCCTATTCCAAACAATACAATGTATTGGGTCCCTGTGAACCGACAAAGTCACCCTCCGCACCCTCTGATGACAGCCGGCGAGCTCGAAAAGTCGCACACCGCTCGAATGCTGCTCAGCGGTACTGCTCCTGTGTTTGCGGAATCAAGGCCCCGGAATAGCTCGTGGACAACCTTGCGGCGAGCCTCAGACAGCCCTCCAGCCCGAAAGAAGTGTATCAGCTTGTCCAAACAGATCTGCAAAATAACCGGGAAATCATTTGTGGCCTTGGTTTTGAACGAACGGTGCAGACCATGGCGTTGGGCGTCTTCCTGAAGAAAACGGCAAGACTAGGACACATGGTAACGAAAGCCATATTCTAAACAACAGGGTTAGGGTTGGAGGAAACTAGCGGAAAGACCGGATCCGTTTGTCAAAGAAAACCTGCCGCTACCAATGCAAGCAACAAACAGGGTGCCAAGACTGACCAGGTCTCTCGGGTATTCTCTCCGTCGGAGTGAATCATTTGATGAATGTTGGATTTGGTGAGGCCTCCCTATGCCAATACAGGTGATGCACCACTCAATACCGTGCTCTTCACATGATTGTGAATTAGGCAACCCCACGAGATCCCACCGGTCAATGTTACGACACACGAAAATGTGACTCCAGCTCACTGCGTCGGGATTGTGTGCTTTACTCCACGTCCTACCTGGCCACGATTGTTTGTGTCGAACGCAGTTGTAACAACCCAAACCTCGCACTTGGTCACGGGAACCTCAAACTCGGCCATCCCTGCCGTCGGGAATTGTTTGTGAGGGCCGGCGGTGGCCTGAGACCAATTATACAACATGATTCTGCAAAATCACTCGAGGTACGCGTTACCAAAAACGGCATCTGCTGCGCTATGTCCCCCGCAACGACAGGAACTAACTGGGTTATTGCCACGCAACACACAACAAGCTGACGAGAACAATCCTGAGCACATTTTTTCTGGCTGGCCTGCTACCCTTCAAGAGACATGATCTAGCTGTGCGGCGAGACCAAAACACAACACGATCAACAACTTCAATGACCAACAAGGGACGGAACAGCGACAAGACTGACGAAGACGACGATAGCAGCATCGACACCGTTCGTTTCTGAACTAGCCAGAACTGATTGCGATAGTGCGCACTTACAGTAGTACCCTTACATAACCAATCCAGTACGATAGAGCGAAGACACGAGGGAGTCTGACTCACCCTCTCGGAACTCCGCCGGGCCGATTTTCCCCACAGCATCCGCGTAGGTCCGGGGCCTACCAAACGCTCGAGTGCACACGATAACACACGACGATCAGGTATGTATAGAGAGGTGACAGCAAGACCGGCGACGATTGAAGCTCAGTTTTTTGTTCGTCAGGTTCGTGTTGCGCCTCAAGCAGTCATGCCCATGTCTTAGGGGAATAGTGTAGCATTCAGACGAACGACGACATGTTCTCCAACGGCCTCCGATGGCGTGCCTCGTTAAAAGGACGGTGAACGGGCCCACACGTATTTCTGTCTACCCAGTCCACCCCATCTTTTCTAGGAGCCTCTTGAGCTACCGTTTTTCTGCTTGGTTCTGGGAAGACCAATCGGGCCATGAAAAAAGAAATATATCTGCGATGGTTGGGTTCTGACTGCCAACAGAGGGCACAGCTACCCTCCGCCTCCGTTGCCTGTCAAACTTCGTTTATGAATAATTCTCATCAACACAATTGGTTAAATAAACAGCTTCTATGTCCGGCTTGAACGCCTTGGTGTAGGTTTTCCAACCGCTTCGAGACTAGCTCTCTAAGAAGACCATTATCGGCGGCCTCGGCGTTCTACAGTAGTCGGTAACCTCGAACCCGTCTTCCGCCTACAGGTAGCTCGAGAGATCCATCACGCGCACAACAAAGAGATGTTTTTTTCTCTTTCGTGCATAGGAGTGCAGGTGGGCTTAAGGACACTCGAGTAAAGGAATTGCGACGGTACGAGATTTGTCCGTGTGACCCCGGGAACAATACCCGGGGGACCGCAGTTTCAGAGACAAGACTTGGTACGAAGCAGTAGGTGTAGGACGCGACAGTAATACACATGAAAAGGATTGTGGCGAATATTGATGAGCAGGACTGCGACCTTTCAGAGGAGATAAACGTTTAAGCAACACTCAGTCACAAACTCAATCAGGAACCAACTGCTGTACACGACGGACAATGTCACGATCATGTTTTCACACAAGCCCACCACAGCAAGCACCACAACCCGCGCATTGACGGCAGCGGCTTCTCCTGTGCCCTCTCGATGACCCGTTTCTTGAGGAACATCAAGCTCCGGGCTTCCAGGTCACTGAGGCCTCGGGGAAGAGACGCATGATGAGGGCCAGCGTCCGGCCAAACCTCTTGGGAAAACGAAGGGTGGACGCCGGGTTCGGTGAACCTCGACTGTGGTTTGGCCAAAGCATGTGACGTCACGCAGGGGGAGGGTGGGCGCTAAGACGCGCGATTGAAAAAAACACAGCAATTTCGGCTTGTCGTTAGCCCAGTTTGTCCTAGCATACGAGTTCGAGCATCGCCTTGTAAAGAAATGCCAATGCGTAGACGGCGTGGTGTGCAAGACCACCACTTTTCGGTGTATCGATCAACCAGAAACCAAGTGAAGTTGGAGTGCGTTAGGTTAATGAGTATGACTTTCTTAATTCATCTCGTGTTGCTGCCGTGCTTCTTGCGTTGCAGTGCGCTAACGTTCTCTATTCACAACCACCGTCTAATGGTCGATCAGCCGGCGTTGAAAGAGTTTTTCGCTTCGTGACGATAACGACGCGTCAAGTAAAACACCCTAACAGCAGTAGCAGTTGAGATGCTACTCTGGCTCCCAGCGGCTAAGGGGACCTCTAGTGGGTGATGCCCCTTGGGTGCGTTCTTCGTCCGTCCAATTTTTCTTCCCGATGGCGGTGCTCTCCAGTTCTACAGCGCTTAGAATGTCAAGAGCAGCGGTTCCACTTGGCAAATACTTCGAAGCACTCCTCAACATCATGACAGATTTTTTTCCCTTTGTTCCCTTGGCGTTCACGGAGCACCCACCGTACGACCGAGCGAGGCCCTATCTGCCTTGCCCCCGCGCGCCATTCCTCCCGTGTTCCACAGGGTGACCGTCGTCCCGGTGGAATAGTGACCACCCTCTCCAATCTCCGACATCGCGTCACCACCTCTTGTCATGCCGTTCTTGAGGACTTTGGTGGAAGGCGCAGGTGCCTTTGTTGGCACCGCCCGTGCGGCATGCCCAGAACACAAATATTTTGTTACAAACAGGTCAGCTGGCAACTTAGGGATAGGTTGCCAAGTGGGTTTGAAGATATCGGTGGGGTGATTTCCCTGCAGGACGGAGCACAAGATTGAGCTGGATCACGTACGAACTCTACCAAACAAGCTTTCAGGATTTTTACCTACAAACGGAGGGCGTGTGGTGGGCGCTAAAGAATTTTGTCGCTTAAATTACTTTCGAACAAAGGTTTGTATGACATCGCTCGGTCCTACGTATACACATGCGGTGGAGAAAAAACTCGAAGGTCGCAGAGCGTGGATAGAGGTGACCTATACGCTAGGAATCGACAATTCATGGAGAACACAAAATTGGTGAGGTCACCAGCTGAGTCTATTTATGTGCACCACGAGTTACTTGGATACATTCATGGGCCTCTGTGGTAAGCTCCTGTTCCAATCCACTCGGAGATGAACATAAACATATCGCGGTGGAAATTTGTTTGATGTGGCATGAAATTGGCCAGAAAAGAAGAGACTGCCCAGCGGTATCGACGCCTACGTTTCGAGCAATTACCCTATGGTAGGATGTCAGACAGCTAAGTATGTCCACCTCTAAACGGGTCACCATACCGACACCCAGAGTAACTAATAGACACATTTCGAAAGCCCTCGACATGAAGGTAGCTGAGATGTGGTCCACACCTCACCTGCGGAGCATTCTCTGGCTGGGGCTTGACGCTGTCCTGCTTCGCTGCTCTCGACGCTTCGTCCGAATACCTCTTGTAGGACTGACGAGGACAGTCAGTTTGTGTAAGAGGGCGTTGGTGTTGTCCAACCTCTCTGTTGTCAGTGGTTGGGGTTGTTCTGATAGAACGCGCATCTTACACGACCATGGAGGAGGATGTCGGTGGATATGAAGCACTGCTACAACGAAAATCGAAGCGAAGATTGATCAATGGTGCTCTGTATGTTATACCACGTGGATGACGAAGGCATCCTCCCGCCGCTCGCTGCAGCCACCGCATATTGTTCATTGCCACGATAGACCTACGATGGCATTAGGGCCGGCAGTCACGACCGGCTGATCTCCCATATGACTTTTGTACCGAAATGCTGCTCTGCACGGTCTGCGTCACACACGCAAACCTTACAAATTCACGCACGCTACACATACCACGGGTGCATACCTGTCTGAAGGTTGTATCGAAATCCCCGTCTTTCTTCTTCTCCCTCTCGAGGGCTTCGCGTTCCGCTTCCTCCGCCAGGACAATTTCTCTGCCAACAGGTGCACGAATGCATCCACCAAACGATGCACAATCGAATTTGCAAGCGAAGCGAACGTGTGGTTCTCGTCACGTGGTAACGCTAGGCTGTCTCTCTCTGTGATGACCATCGCTCTGGATGGCCGCTGTCAGAGCGGGGTATAGTCTCATTTTCCTCCATGCGGAGTGCAACGAAAATACGTAGCGCCACTCAAACAATCTTGGCGGAATTTTCTGCAATGCTCGCCATGCTCTCCGATTCGGCAACGTGTACACAGGAATGGGGTGTGCCTTCAGGAAGATATGCGATCGAAGAACTATGTAGAGGGTATCCCTCTCTCAACAATCTGGACAACTTTTTCGGCGTGCATGAAGTCTGCTGATCTAACCGACCAACCTTCAACTCGCCGTTGCGCTATCTTAGTGAGCGGCGGCAATGTATGCCTCCGCATTCACCGTTCCCATCCTATTTGAGAGTTGAGCTTGAAAGGAATGGTTTACGCATTTCCTACCTCACGCGCGTATGTTCGTTAGCTACGTGGCTTAGGCGTCTCGTTCTAACGGTATTCATCTGCCCAAGCCACGCATACAACGACAGAATGCAACATCAATCCATACTAAGTCTGTCGGCCAACTACAGAAAATGTAAGATAGCATTCACTCACTTTGCTGCTAGTCGCGAACGCACCGCACGAGGACCAGGTCTGATGTATGCCGACCTTTCCTTCGTCGCAGCAACCTGCAATCAGGGAGGACATCAACGAGAATTGGCAATCCGCCAACCACACGATGGTCGATAGAGTGCCCCATCCGAAACTATCCAATATTGCACACTTGTTTCAAAACTCTCCTTGAGACTTAAAAACTGTTGCACTCTGATCCACTCCTGCTGGTACCGTGTACTTCAGGCAAAATCAGGCTTAGCAGGTTATTTCCAATGGACTCTGCGGAACAGTGGTTTGACGAACGAGATGAACTACTTCACTTGCACCAGCTCACCTTCTCCGGATGAATGTAAGAGGTATGCGATTCGCTTGTTCCCCTCCCAGCGTCCTTGGCGCCCGGCTTGTCTGCATGATACAGCACCCTGCATAAAAAATGTAAACTGAGCGTCGGACCTTGATCCTCAACTTGCTGTAGTAAAGAGTGTTAAATATCAAGTGTCATGGTTGTAAGACAATAAATTACTCCGTCACTTCTTGTGGCTCTTCTGTAGCTATTGCAAGCGTGTCAAGCCGTTCTATTCATGAAATGTTGCATGTATAATTGGGGTGGTATGATTCCCGAAAGTTCTTCATGACCAATTGCGCGGGAGGAAACAAAAACGGAATCGCCGGCTGATGAGCATATTGCAGTCGGGTAACTTCGAGAGGGCTTCCATACGCTCTGCCGTCCGGGCGCTACGAGGGATGAAAGCGACTTCTGCGACTTGTGCGACACACGTACAGTATATTCGATATAACCGTAGCATAGCATGCGGGTGGTATCTTGCGTATACATATGCGGGTATTGCAGTGACGAACTACGGAGGAACAAGAAGTTTCTTTATGTTTTCCTTGGGAGTGTGGTGGATTGGTGGACATTCATGGAAATTCATTTTGGGTGATTGAGCGTTATGCGTGACTTGATGCCGTGATGGAATGACGAGCTCAAGCACGCCCCCGATGAATACAACAACACGTATACAACACGTTTCCCATCACGTCTGCACGACTTCCCCTACCCCTACGGCCCGTCATGGCCGAGCTGCTCTACACTCCCATCACACAAAACTGAGCCACCCGAATTATCGATCACGCTAGCGTATGACACGTCGTCTACGAGATTCGCGGTCGAGCTTGGTTTAGGAGTATCGCTTTGCGGCGATCGAGAGCAGGGTCAAGATGGCTACCAGGCGCGAAGATGAAGCCCGCCAAGCAGCGGAGGCCCGCCAAGCAGCGGAGGCCCGCCAAGCAGCGGAGGACGCCAGGAACTAAGAACAAGATAGCTCCCGCAGCGTCGACAAGAGCGCGCGGGTTGAAGCAGAAGAAGTCNTTTGAATTGTGTTCCGAAAGATTTTTAGTGTTGTGTCTGAACCGTTTCCTGTGTTCGGAATTCTGCGAAATGTGTGGTGTTGGGATGAAAGAAACAGTACGGTTGTCACGAACGAGCTAACTGAACGTGTGAGGGGTTATCAAGCCACCAACAGCACGTATGAGGGGATGTGATGCTTCCAAGAGTTTAGTTGCCAATCGTGCAACGAAAAGAGTATGAGTGGTTTTTATCCCACCAAAAGCAGAACGGTAACGAGAAAAAAGATTGATGCGTAACTTTGTTTGTGGGACTACCACGTCACCACCGACACAACAGCAAAGCGTGGACATCATTACGCATTTGAAGGACAGTCAGAATTCTTGACGCAAGCACGTAGGATTTCATGGCAAGTTTGTAGGAGATGTTGGGTAGAATTTCGCTGGAGAGAACAGCAATATGCGTGGCAGGACCTCGGCGAAAAGCGAGACTTGACCCAAGACTGACGTTTTCCGACTAGATCGCAGAGAAAAATAGTCCGAGGCATCACTCAGCCAAGNACCAAGACTGACGTTTTCCGGCTAGATCGCAGAGAAAAATAGTCCGAGGCATCACTCAGCCAAGAAGCGAGGTTGACCCAGAAACTAAATTCCCGACTAGATCGTAGAGGACAGCAATAAGAGGCAGTACTCAGCATGACGCGGAGCAAGATCCACCAAATGCGTTCCTCCGAAGAGATCACTCAAGACCATTTCAGTGGCACAACACGAACTTTGAAGTTTCACGGCGTGAGCAGAAGAGAAATTTTGGATGTCCAACTGTATTTTATTTTGTTTTGGTACAGCAGTCACCCCTGTGCAGAACCGGGGGGAGTGTTGTGGCATGTGATTCTCCTCAGGAGTGCTGTTTTATAAGGAACTGATTGTGCCACCATCTTCCCTTCCGAACGCGCGACCTGCCCTCCACCGCTGCCGAGTCAATCCTTCTGGAGCGACAATTGTGGTCTCCCCCAACGAAGGCGGACGATTTACTGACGATGCGCCAGCCGCGGCCAGCCGGACGAAGAGCACAGAAGGCGACCGCGGCGGAGGCGAGCGAAAATCCGCGGGGGAGAAACAATGGCAGGGGTAGTGGTCCAATGCGATGGGGTTTACGGCTGGAAAAGTAGGCGCATTGAGGTTCATATTGAGTTTGATTTAGTTTGAGATTTGGCGTTTGTTTTGTTTGATTTAAGCTTGGGTTTGGTTTTTCA